CCAGCCTGGGCCATTCTATGATTCTATGAGTGCGATATTTTAAAAATAATTCTCTACCTCTAAATGGCTTTGCCATAGGAAATTCTCCACTTTGATCTGTAGCACTGATGGAAAGGAATGCTTTTCACATTATCTCATCTACATGAGGTCTATTAAAAATACACCTGTCAAAGGCTTTTATGGAGCAGGAGTGGTATTAGCCTACATATTAAGAGGGTGGAATCCAAGTCCCTACCATGTCACAGACTTTCTACGTAGCTTTAGCCAAGCTGCTTTCTTCCATCACCAGAATCATCCAGGTCCATGTTGGAGTCTGGCTGCCTGTGCCCAAGGCCAGCTTTGACACAGCCACAGTGGGGATCTCTGCCCTCTAGCTTGGCCCTTTTTTCTGCTGGTCCTTGTGTCCAGACTTGCTTCGCTGACTTGCTGGTCCTGCTCTGCTCTTCTGGCCGGGCACTGACCCTTGCCATCACCCACAGCTTCTGCCTCACTTGCCCTCGCTCAGCACCTGCTACTGCTGCTCCCTGACACCTTATTTTCCATCCTTGCTGCTTCCTCCTTTCTCCTTCTGAAAATCTGTCATGCTTTGTCCTCAAGAAAACAGGACAGCAATGTTAACAACTTCAGACCATCTCAATGAAATTGTCTTTCCCCTTCTCCCTAGAAAGGATTCTCTAAATGACCGTCAAATGTGGAAAGTTCCCATACAAACACATCTCTTTTTCATAAAACAGAAAGCCATTAAATTATGTTGTTAAAATTAAAACTTCATCAATGTTTTCACTATTTTTAAGGAGTTTTAATAATGTTTATCATGAGATGAAGCACACCCAGATCTCAAATCTTGACTCAGACCTTCATATCATTTAATATTATATTAGCCTTGGGCTGAGTCTGACCAATGCCTTTAATTTCTGTACCCATTTGGTCCACAAATGTGACAATAAAATTGATCATTTAACAAAGAAACAAGCTTTTTTTGAAGCATTTTTCTTTGTCTGAGAAGGTACTTAATCTAATCACACTGAAAAGATTGGTAGTTAGTAGATTTCGGATATCTCTGCAGTACTGGTGACACCTAGGAAGAGTGAGCAGCCACCTTTGTTACATGACCCACTGTGCTCCTAACATAGGAGAATTAACTGTTGGGAACTAAAGCAATACTTAACCTGACTATTTGAATTATGTACTTTGGTTAACATTAGAAACTATCTTGCTTAGCATAAATGGCCAGAGTGCTGAAGCCTTAGGCCGCAAGCTGTAACCTAGAGATTGATGAGTTTATACCAAACTCTCCTAAACACAAGAAGAATGGGCTGCTTCAGGTCCTGCAGGCTGCTAGGTCTGAAGGGAAGTACCAGGGCTTTTTAGGGGACAGCTCCAGGCAGGGCATGTCCTCTTGTCAGCTCAAAGAATTGTTTATCTTGACGTACTCCCAGCTAAGCTCTGTGCTGTCTCATGTCCTTCAGCTGTGATCCATCCTGCCTTGGAAATGCCTGCTCACAGTGCCATGAACTGTTCCCACCCCTCTGTGAGGAAGGATTTACCAGGACAGGATCAGTCACACTGCAGTGGGTGTCTTTTAGGGCCTGGGGCAGGCAGCAGTCATCCTGGGCAGCTGTGAGACATGAGGCTGTAACCTGGCCAGAAGAAGCCGTTGTGACCTCTGACCATGCTCCTGCAGATCTCACCTATCGCTTGCACTGTGATTTCTGCTGCCGCGAGGGCTGTGTTCTGGACGGCCCATCTAGAACGGAGCGCATGGCACGGGGGCAGTGGTCAGAGTTGTACAGCGTGAACCACGGAGCTCTCCTGAGAAAGGCTTTATGGATTGCTCACGTGGTGCTGGGCACTTGAGGTACAATGCAGCCTGACATTTCAGCTGTCTAGCAGGATGGAGGCTCAACAGTTCTCATGTTTTTGAGTTCAGTCATTCAGGAGACTGGAGTGCCAGCCTGCCCACTTGTGAAGCTTCTGAACAGGTCAGCTATGTCTCTGTGGGCAGAGCAGCCACAAGTGCTTTCCTATTGTCCACGGCACCATTCCTCCTTTGGCTTGCAAGATGTTTCCAAGGAAAAGGAAAGAAATTCAGTCCTTCCAGTAGCTGCTAGAGCCTAACATTTTCCAAAGTGCTGGCCAGAATGTCTAACTCCAGGTGTTACATGAACTAAAGTCATCTTTACTTACATCTCAGAGATTTCCGGAGAATGAAACTGCATGCAAATCATCAGTTATCAGTTCTTGCCTCCTACTGACAAGATGATTGACCTTGTGTGTTGTTCAGAAATTTTGAACTCAGGCTGGCTAGTATTTCTATTGATGGCAAGCAGAGAATAAAAGTCTGTCCTTCTGGCAAAATACTGTGTACATTTAGTCATGTAGTTATCCTAACTAGGAGCTTGCCACCTCTTCTCCAGGTAGTGAGCAAGTAGTAAGCTGCTGTCTAAAGAGGAAGCTGGTTTCTCCTCTGGTCTACTCAAAGGTAAAGACATACATCGTTTCACATCACTTACTACACTGTTGGAGATGTCTCCTCTGGAGACATATGGGTTATTGTTGGGAACTAAAGTAATTTTAAAACTGACTATTGGAATTACATGCTTTGGCTATCATTAGTAGCTAACTTGCTTAGCATAAGTCGCTAGACTGCTAAAGCCTTGGGCCACAAGCTGTAATCTAGAGACTGATGAGCTTAGACTGAACTCTTTCTTAGATGCAAGAGAAATGACTGTGAGTAGTTTTGCATGGCTCTAACACATTGCAACTGAGTTAACATAATGAGACTGTATAAGCAATGTCAATGATGCCTTGCATGCTTAGCAATATAAATTAGGGTGACTGTTATGATCAAATGAAAGGAACTGTAATTCAAAGAAATGAAGAGACCATTCTACCTGGAGTCAGCACAAGACAGATGAGTTCTAGGTGCAGACGGAACAAAAAGATTATGAAACTATGTAAGCAAGTAAAGTCACCCACATAAAATTTGCAATCATCGAAGAGGACAAGTAACAATTAAACAATTTGACTGGATGAAAGACACATGCTTGTCATGTGAACAGGGACATGAAGAGCTTATATAATAGACTGTGAGGCTTTAAAAAGCACAGGGAAATAACTAAAGGGGTCCCTGTCCAGAGAACCCAGCTTGAGCTGAACCTGCTGCTGTGCCACTCTATTACATTTTTTATTTTTGTGAGAGTTTTGATGCCTGACACTCTGCTTTGGGAAACCCAGGGTTGAGACTGCAGAACAATTAACACCAGGCACCCAGACCAGACTGCTCTTCTCTAACATTAACTCACATTGAAAAGCCTTCTCTGTCCTCAGTACAGAGTTTTAAAATCTTCATGAAGGACTTAATAGCATTTAAAGCCCATGTACTCTTTGACTAGCCATGAAGATAGCCCTTCCTCTCTCCCTCTAGGTACTTAAAGCAGTTTTATTATACAGTGAAGAGAGGATTTGCCCAGGATCATTTCTTAGCCTGGCAATGTTTGATCTCCTCCTCTACTCCTACATTAATAGCCTTTCATTAGCAAAATCTTACTTCTGGCCAAAATATGACAAACTACTCCATACTTAGAACACAGATAAACAAATGGACCTGGTTCATTTGCTTCGGTCCCCTCTGTTCTCCAAGAAGAGACAGCCTTTCTTCAAGGAGCCTCAGGCTGCTTCCTTGGCCTGGATTATCCTTTAAGAGCAAAAGTGTTGTGCTGAACAGAGGAACAATTTACACAACACTCTCATTTGTGAAATGCTACGGAACTGCTAGTAATTACAGTGCTGTAGTGTACATAGGGGAAGTTGACCCAGATTGGATAAACTGAGCAGAAATCACATCTATACTTAAAGCCTCCCACTGTTGTGCTACCAGAACAAGCAGCTGGTAAATGTCAGCAGCTAATACTCTTATTTTCATAACATTCTTAATCTGCCCGAATAGGCTAAGGTAAAATAACTATGTCTTATTTTCACTAGTGATTATCATTGAGTCTGGGACCATGGAGCAAGCTATGACTCAAAAAAGTAATTTCAGACACTTTTACTGGATATAGCAGGGAGGACTGGACTCAGGAGATCCTGACCTCCATTTCTGTGTCCATTGGCTACACCAGAGATGCTTAACCGGTAACTTCTGGTATGATTCACATTTCTTTACATGGGAAAGAAGCATCTTGCACAGCAAGCATCTCCTTCCTCTCTCCACCTTGTTCATGCTCTGCTCTTATTCCAGCTACAGACAAGGGAGACTCTGCAACCTCTTGGCTCCTTCAGGAACCACCTGCCTGCTGACCCCTCTTCGATGTATCTATGCCAGTGAACAAAACCCTTCACTTGCAACCAAAACAGTGCAGGGTCTATTTTTCCTGGGCACAAGGTAGAAAAAACTAACAGAACTAATAGAACACAGCCCATATAGCTAAAATCCATCACCCTCCAAAATTGGATAGCCGCATCCACTCTCCTTATATTTAAGAATGGTCCATGCGCAAGCTGTGCCTTGGAAAGTGCAAGCTCAGCTCAGAATTTAACACAGATAATCACAGAGCAGTGGTTGTACCCACAATCTGTTAAACTTACTGGTAAAACCACAGTCTGAATGGCTATATAAAGGGGCATGTTGCCCACCAACAGACCCAGACTGGCACACATGCACCAGGCTACAACCTTTCAAATTCTAAAATCATGATTGCCTCAATAGCAGTCTGCACCAAAACATTCCTATTTAGAACATAAATTGGTCACATACATTGGCAGATGTCCAAAGTTATATATTTTTTATTTCCAGACTCTAAGTAATACTTTAATGCAAACCAGCTGGAAGCGGCAATAGCTTCCGCCAAGAAGCAGCTCTGTCTTGTCTCAGTGCCTCTTTCTGGCCTCACCTTTGTGTAACAGTGAAATGCTTTGTTATTTTGTTTCTGACATCAAGCTTAACTGAAGCCATAAGCTGAGAAACGAGGAAGGCATGATGAAAAGGGTTAGCAAAAGGAAAAAGGGATGAAGATAGTAGTGTCATTTCTTTTTATGTTACATATAGGACTCTAACTGTAAATCATTACCAGCACTGCATGAATCAGATTTCCATTCTAGTGTCAGAAGTCCAGAGCTAAGTGCAATATTCATCATTAAATGAATTATTATTATTCACCTCAGTCTAAATATACAGCACTTGTAAAAGATTTATATGCTCATTATTATGAAATTGTCTTTGTGAAGTAAAGAACCGAACGAACTTCTGTGTGGAAGAGGAGGTGTTCACTGTATTGATAAAGTAAATGCCATTCACGGTATTTACAAGCTACTGAAGAAGACAGAGGTTATTTTTGCATTCTTTTGTTCCACGAAATCTTTTATTTATGGGGTTTCGGATACACAGGTTTATATAACTGACAATTCAAAACCAAACATTGCAGATCACAAAGAATGAGATCTTTAGGGAGAAAAATGATTTTGTCACAATGTAGTAAAATAGGTTTTTAATTAGCATAGTAGTATTTCTCTGTGAATAGAAGACACCATTGCACTATATTTACATTGAAAGCTGAAATGATGGCTGCTCCTTTGTAGCACTGACATTTCACAGATCAAATGGGCTGCTTATAAAATAAAAACCATGAGAACTTTCTATGGCTCTCCTTTCCCCTCGTCCCTCCTCCACTATGGTGGGCTGACCTTGGCTTTCCACCAGCTGCCCACCAAGCTCCTCTATCATTCTCCCTCTCTCATGAGCAGACTGTTCCAGCATAGATCCCCCACAGGGTCAGAATTTCTGACAGAAAACCTGCTACAGCATGGGCTCCTCTCTCCACAGGTCCACATGTCCGGCCAAGATCCTGCTCCAGCGTGGGCTCTCCAGGTGGTCACAGCCTCCTTTGCACACATCAACCATTGGGTCCTGCATGATCTGCAGGTAAACATCTGCTCCAAGGTGGACCTCCATGAGCTGCAGGGGCACAGCCTGCCTCACTGTGGTCTTCTCCAAGGGTTGAAGGGATGATCTCTGTTCTGATGCCTGGAGCACCTCATCCTCCCCTTTCTTGCTGATCTGGGTGTCTGCCGAGTTGTTTCTCTCACATATTCTCATTCCCCTCTTCAGCTGCAGTTGCTGTTGTGCAGCAACTTTTTCCCCTTCTTAAATGTATTATCCTAGAGGTGCTACCACAATCACTGATGGGCTCAGCCTTGGCCAGTGGTGGGTCCTTCTCTTCTTTGAGATGACTGGCATTGGCTTTATTGGACATGGGGGAAGCTTCTAGAAGCTTCTCACAGAAGCCACCCCTGTAGCCCCAAAACCGTGTCACACAAATCCAACACATTCACTTAAATTCATCCTATTCTGGACACTCCTTCTTACATACCTGTCATGCTGTACTAGTTTTGACTGGGATAGAGTTAATTTTCTCTCTCATGCTGGAGCAGTCTGTTCCTGAAGGACTGCACCTGATGGGACACACTTGGGGCAGTTCCTGAAGAATTGCAGCCTGTGAGAAGGATCCACATTGGAGAAGCTTGTGGCGAACTGTCTCCCATGGGTGGGACCCCATGCTGGAGCAGGGGAAGAGTGTGAGGAGGAAGGAGCAGCAGAGATGAAGTGTTACAGACTGACTGCGACCCCATTCCCCAGCTCAGCGAGAGGTTGTAGAGGAGATGGAAATGAAGCTGAGCCTGGGAAGAAGGGAAGGTGTTTTTCAGATTTGTTCTTACTTCTCATTAACGCGCTATTGAACTGACAATAAATTAAATTAATTTCCCCAAGTCAAATCTGTTTGGCATGTGACGGTAATCGGTGACCGATCTCCCTGTCCTTATCTCAACCCATGAGCCTTTCATCCAATTTTCTCTCCTCTGTCTAGTTAAGGACAGGGAGTGACAGAGCGGCTTTAGTGGGGACTTGGCCTCCAGCCAGGGTCACCTCACCACAGTGGGCTCAGCACTACCTCCAACGTGTAAAGCTGAGCAGCTCAAAAAAGGAGCAGAACCTGAATCCATACTTAGGCAGATCCGATGAGCAGGAGTCTGCATGCAGGGACAGAAACAGTGGCTGTTCTCTTAGTGCGGTGGCCCAGATAGACTGTTTCTTGCTCACAGTTTGCATATATTACGCAGGCAGAAACAGGCCACTGATTATTGTCTGAATTATTCACATTGGGTCTGGCTATAA